TTTCATGAAAATGCCAAACTTTGTTTCTAGCAAAGATTAATGTCATAGTTAAGTACTATAATTATTCTAATGCTACATGAATAAATAAGAAAATCATATCTTTATCTCCCTCTATGAAGACTTCCTCAGTTCTTCTTCGTCTTTTTTTTTTTTTTAAGATTTATTTATTTGAGAGAGCGAGAATGAGAGAGAGAGAGAGAGTACATGGGGGGGGGGGGTTGGAGGGAGAAGCAGGCTCCTCGCCGAGCAAGGAGCCCGATGCGGGACTTGATCCAGGGACTCCAGGATCATGACCTGAGCCGAAGGCAGTCGCTTAACCAACTGAGCCACCCAGGCGCCCTAGGGAATTCTTTTTAAATAGCCTTTCCTCATTTTATGGCCAGTCCAGTAGCAAATGAGAGCCAATTTTAGTGTATTCAGGGGTCATATTGTCAACCAGGCATGAAGCTTAAAGAAAAGAGGGGGCTGGGTAGCAGGTCATGGTCAGTACATAGGACCAGGCAGGGCCAGGCCCCAGGGGCCCGGACCCTTATTTCCAGCCCACCTAGCAGACCCCAGATGGCATGATGGGATGGATATACATTCTCCAATTCTAGTCCAAGAAGCCCCTTCTAGAAGACAGACAGAGGAAGCAGAGGGGAAACAAATTCCCAAAACACTAACAGGGAAGCAGAGGCGCTTCCTCCTCAGCCACAGTGGCCTTGTTTCTGATGCCACCCAATCCCTAGCAACTCATGCTGAAGCTCCAAAAGTTACACAGAGGTGGCAACAGAATGACCAAGGGCAGGAAAGTCAAGGCAAGGTGAGTGTAACTGGAGCTGGAGCCTGGCTGGGAATGGAGTGTGGGCTGACAGTCTGGCAGGACTGTGGCCTTCCATGGCTAGGCATAGACCAGAGTGGAGGGAATATGAGTATAGGCTGGCAGGGGCCCTCAGAGGAAGACAGTGTGTGATGGCTGGTGTGATAGAGCTTTTGAGTTTGAATATAAAGTGCCTGCCAAAATGAGGGAGGTGCACTGTGGTGGAGGGGTGGCCACCGTCCCTTTGTGGGAGACTAGAGTGAAACAGGAGCAGGGGGCGCACCCTGAGATCCTAGGAGAGCCCCAGAGATGGTGAGAGGGAAGCTTGGCTGAGTAGCTCCTGTGGGCTCTGAGCTATTGTGGGAAGCTGGGAGGCAGCAGTCCAGAGTCAAGGAGCCTCTTCTTTCCCTCCATGCTAGTTCCTGGTAAATGTTTAATTATAAGGAAGGAAGGAGGAAGAACAAGACCATCCCACTGCCTCCTCCAACCCTAGACTCAACCCCAGGGGTAGAGAGGAAAGAGCAGAGTGGTGGAAGGCAGGGAGGTGTGAGGGGCCTACCGGGTCTTACCTTCCAGGGGGTAGTAGGAAGGTGGCAGAAATTGGTTTGTGGGCATGTAGGCCTTGTGTTTGTTGCCCAGGTCGTAATCGGTTCTGGCACCTGCTTCTGTGACCTTGGCTTCAGCTGCAGAAGTGGAGGGAACATCAGGGCTGCTGGCTGGAGACTCCAGGAGCCCCGAATAGGGTGGTGGCCATGGTTGCAACTATTCCATGTTCGTCATGGGAGGTCCTGGATAGAAGTCAGATGGAGTGGTAGATAGAAGTAGCCAGAAGGACAGGGGTACATTCCATTGGTAACTGGCAGGGAAAAGACAAAGGCCCTGCTAGGCATGTGAGAGTACCTACAGGCTCCATTAGAGGCTTCACCTTTGGAGGATTGAGATGTCACCTGTAGCATCTATCGTCCGACTCAACGGTGCCTCTTGGTGTAAAGGTCAACTTATACAAAGCAGTCTTCCCAGCCACTTCCTGCTTCAGCCTTCACGGTTCTGTTGATGTAGTTTATACCAAACCCAGGCTGCTTGATTTTGCAGTCCTTTATCAGATAAAATGGCATCGTAAAGGATTGGATGGCATCTTTTCTTTGGACAGAAAAATGGAACTCGTAAAGGGTAAAGTAGATGGTGCCTTTATTGGTCCCTTTGAAGGCCTTTGGTATGTTCTTCATGTCCTTGAGCACAAACTCTGCATAGACATAGGACATTAGCATCGGTATTAATTACTCTGCCCCCTCTCTGATTCTAGTGAACTCCATGGTCTCCCTGGTATCCTCTTATTCTGAAGCTCTCTTGCATACCTGCTTTTCTATATCAGGTTACTGAACAATAATCTAATTTTGCCTTTTAGGGCTTATATGGAATAAAAGAAGAAATCTTTCTCAGTATCCCTTGTGTCTTGGGGCGAAATGGTGTCTCAGATGTTGTGAAAGTTAACTTGAATTCGGAGGAGGAGGCCTTTTTTAAGAAGAGTGCAGACACACTCTGGAATGTCCAAAAAGAGTTGATATTTTAAAGCCTCTTAATGTTCCACTGTTTTATAGAACAGAAGATATCAGACTGTATATTTTACATTTTGAAAGTATTTTAATCTGATCTGTAAAAAATAAAAAAAATTGGAGACCCATGACATAATTTCAGTCCCTCAAGGCTCGGAAAAAGAAATGGTAAAGAGATTTCTCCTCTCTATGAATCTCTTAAAGCTCTGTTTTAATGATACCCAACCTATACAGATGCAAGTTTTACTTCTGAGGTATGTCATACATAAGAGTTGACTTCAAGTTTAGTAGAGTATGTATAACAACCCATTATAATATAAGACTTATGATTTTTCTCACAAAACAACCAGCACTTTTTCTAGTGTCAAAATTTCATTCTTCTATTAGGGCACAGGCATATTTACTTTATATTGCTTCATTAGCTTCATGTGTCTATGTATGATCTTTACTAAGTACTTATCTTTAAGACCATGTATATCAGAAGAAAACAGAAATAAAACTTTTATGGTATAAAAAAATTAAATGGAATGTCTTCAAACCTGTAAGCATTATTCCAAATCACATTAACTCAAATAGTTGATTTGGTGTCTCTGTTGAAATGCCACACAGGAAGCTTAGACCATTTTCTAGGTCATCTGTTGAGCAAACTACAGCTATGCTTGCTGTGTTATGGTTATGAGGTCAGTATGACATGATTTATGCCCTCAAGTATCTCACAGTATTTAGGGTACCTCAACTAATTGATTATTGACGTGCATGTATATGAGTGCATATATGTACTTCTGATTATATATACATATAGAACAAATATATATGAAATATTTCCTTGATTTCACAATTTAAGGCAGTTATAGGAAATACACAATTAAAACTAAGAAATCAGGACCAAAATAATTTATAATAGACTAGGACAGGATTAGTGAGAAACATTAGAAGACAGATATGCAGGTCCTAAGGACTTACATGGCTCTAGTGGAGGGGCGCTCATTGGGCAGAGAGTCGCAGTTCATATTCTTATTCTTGCAGTCTGAATAGTTTTCATTCTAGTCCTCTCCCGCTGAACATGATTAGTTTCCCATTATTCTTTTTCCTTGTTTCCTCTTCTCTTGAATGCACAAAACAGGATCATGAGAGAGTTTAGTTAGGATAGCAGGGATGGGGGAGTCTAATGTAGATTTTGCCTTTTTTTTTTTTTTTTAAAGCTGCTCTTTGTACACCAAATTAAAACTTCATTTTAGGAAATCCTTGCAGATATTGAAAGGGTGCAAAATATAGTTTCTACAAGGAATATTCTAGGAAGTAAAACTGCTCCACATGGTGTATTCTCAACAGCGGGCAATATCACCCCCAAGAGTGTAAAATTGGTTATGGGGGGTTGGGGGAAAATATTAGATATTACAAGGGTTTCGCTCCCTAAAGTTCAACCCTACCAGACAAAATCTTATTCTTTTTTTTTTTTTTTCAGATTTTATTTTTAAGTAATCTCTACACCCAACATGGGGCCTGAACTCACAACCCCGAGATCAAGAGTCGCTTGCTCCAAGGACAGAGCTAGCCAGCTGTCCCTCTTATTCTTTAATATTTAATTGCATGTTGGGGGTGGGTGGAGCTGAATGATCAGCAGAGAAAGTCTAAAAAGGCCCTTGAGGGAGAGATAATGAAAAAAAGTTTGAGAAACACTGCTCTATTTCTTCTAAAAGAATTTGTCAGAGGTGTATTATGTATTATGATTTACAAATGAGTTAGAAAACAATTAGGTAGAACGTGGTGGGACAAGAGAACTAGAAACCTTGGTGTATCCCAAAGGATAAGAGGGGAATTTTGGATTCTGCATTTAACTACTTCATAAATAATGAGTTAAGCTTTCCCATCCACTAGTGGAAATGGTTATCAGCCCTGCACTGATCAAATTCTTAGGATTTCTATCTTATTTAAAAATCCCCTTTGCATAGAGGGTTTTAAAATTTTTACTCTCTCTGCTTTGGCTCACATTTGTGGGTGGTTAAAAGTAGCATGCAGATCTTTCTCCAGCTGCTCTGGGGAAAAGTTCCCAAGGGAGAGTCAAAAAGCCCTTATTGGATACATCCAGACAAGGTTTGGTTAGAAATAAATTTACTCGGGCTCTCCAGTGGATGAGTTCTGGGCAAACAGTACTCGGTTTGATAGCTGAGACTCTCTAGTTCATTGTTGTTTTTTACGATTTCATTTACTTATTTGAGAGAGAGAGCATGAGGGGGTGGGAGGGTCGGAGGGAGAAGCAGACTCCCTACCGAGCAGGGAGCCCGATGCAGGACTCCATCCTGGGACTCCAGGATCATGACCTGAGCCGAAGGCAGTCCGCTCAACCAACTGAGCCACCCAGGTGCCCTTCTCTAGTTCATTGTTATCTTTTGCACCTCGAGCTCTTGGAGCCCAGGAGCCCAAGGAGCCTCCCTGAAGCCCGCCAACTACAGAAACCTCAGCCCTCCGCTGGTTCAGGTGATGAGCAGCCGGCGCAGGGGCAGGTGCAGTACCTCAGAGCCCGCCTCCTGGCCGAGCCTCTGCTCCAGGTGTGCGAAGACCCCACGAGGGCCGCACGAGCTGGGCGGGGCCTTGCGCAGCCTCAGTAGCCAACGGTGTTCCCCCTTGCAGCCTCCGACAGTTCTGCCCGTTTCCTCCCTTTTCGTCTGCCTCCTGAGAGGGTGGCCATGTACTCGGCTGCTGGAGTCCTGCAGACCAGCTGGAGCGTGGGCGCCGCGGGAGCGAATTTCTTTTGCCTGAGGATGGCTCTGTGTCCCTTGCAGACCGCACGCATCCCGGTCAGGGGTGGCTGGCCCTTCACCCGTGTGAGTGTGGCCGGAAGTACCGCGCGCCTGGCAGTCTTGGGCCGGAGCTCAGTGCTGGAGCTGAGAGCTGGGCTAGGGGGCGGGGAGGGGAGGAACAGGTGTCCTGACTGTCGTGTCGTTTTTGGTGGAGCAGCCCCTTTGCCTTCACTCCCTCTTAATTCCTCTTAACTTATACCACCCTTCTCCCCACTCTCCCACCCCCTTGGTTTGCCTCCTGGGTGTTGGGGTGCTGGCCAGAAACCACCCAGCTTCTTTGCCAGCCACTTTGGTCGTTCCCTGGTGGGTCTACAGCACCTCTCTTCCCACAGGGACCCAGGAGTTCTCTATGAGGCCTCTCTCACTGTAGACCAATTCCGAATCTGGAAGTGGCTTTGCAGTTTTTCCTCCCTCTGTTAGGTTTCCAAGATGGCGACTGTCCAGGGTGAACTTACTAAGAATTTCACTTCAGAGGAGGCCGCTCATCACAATAAAATCTCCATTATAGGAACTGGAGCCGTTGGTGTGGCCTGTGCAACCAGCGTATTATTGAAAGTGAGTTATGTGTTCTCTGCCGTAGGGTTAACGAAGTTTCCCTCCTTTGGATGTAAGGCTACTGCATATGGTTGTGCGGGTTGTATTCAGTTAAAGGGGTGAATGGGGGGCCCTATCCAGTCCCTGCTGGTTTAGTCCAGAGGTAAAGCTGCGCTTTTCTAATTGTTTCACCCAGAGCGGGCTGCTTTTTCTAGTTTTTATGATGGTATCCTATGTGTTAGAATGTTGACACCTTTCACTTCCGCTCATGTGATGACCGTATGAAGTGCCCCTTCGCTTGACTGGGAAACAGCTCACACACACACACACACACACACACACACACACACACACTGAAGAAATAGATGGCAGAAAAGAAGTGTTCAACCTGTCCGTTGTGGTGGGTGTCCTACTAGTACAATATAATAATCTTTTTCCTTTAAAAATCTCTCTCCTATTTCCTAGTCTCTATCTTTATTTCCCTTCTTCCTTATCCAAGTGGGGTTAGTTTTAGTGTTTAGTTCTTAGTATTGATGTGGCAGATAAAGTTAGCTTCCAGTTAAATGGCTAGACACAGGACTAAAAAGATTCTGACCCCTTTCTAAGAACATTACCTTGGTTTGAATCCATAATGTTTTTGTAAATAATAATAAACTCTTGGAGCTATGCTTTGCTTTTATTAATGGAATATCTATAAAATTTCCTTAAGCTACCTTTCTATAGCCTTTAATCCTGACATGATTATTGGATTTAAAGGATTGGCCCCGGGTTTCATCTAGATGACCTAAGTGTCCTTAAGGCACTAAGAACGTCAGCCTCTGTCAACTGCGGCTCCTAGCAATCATATGAATTCCCAGTGACTCATTTTGTCCTATCAACTATAATGCCTTTATCAGCAGTGTCATCATTGCTAATAAAGAATACATGTACATGAAAACCAATACATTTGTTGTCAACATCAATAATAATGAAAATAATATACTTTATATATGTTATCTAATAAAATCCCAAAAAGTAATTATTAGGTCTGTTTTACGAAGGAGGAAAAAAGGCAGGTTGCATGAATAGATAAGTATAGACATAATATGTACAGAAAACCTTGAAGTAAAAGATTTATTTACTATCTTGCTTTGATAGGGATGGATTGGGCCCTATCCATAAAAAGAAAGTAATAGCCACAAGCTCCTCGAGCTTGAATTCTCTGATGCTGACAACTATAGCATTTGCATGTCTTAGAAAATGTGGTGCACAATACACCTACAAAGTCCCAGGGTAAGGCTCACTTTAATCGCTTCCTTTCCTGGCCCTAGCCTTGGCAACTTCTTTCATTCAAGGAGGTGGTGATACTTTTTTTTTTTTTTTTAAGATTTATTTATTTATTTGAGAGCGAGAGAGTGTGTGAGAGTGTGAGCGGGGTGGGGGGGCGCAGAAGCAGAGGGAGAGAAAGAATCCCAACGCGGAGGTCAGAGCCCGACCCAGGGCTCCATCCCAGGACCCTGAGATCATGACCAGAGCCCAAATCAGGAGTGGGGTGCTCAACCAACTGAGCCACCCGGGTGCCCCAAGGAGGTGGTGATATCTTTTTTTTTTTTTTTAAAGATTTTATTTATTTGTCAGAGAGAGAGAGCACAAGCAGAGGGAGAAGCAGGCTCCCCGCGGAGCAGGGAGCCCGATGCGGGACTCGATCCCAGGACCCTAGGATCATGACCTGAGCCGAAGGCAGACGCCCAACGACTGAGCCACCCAGGTGTCCCGAGGTGGTGATATCTTAAATAGCTCCTTGCTGATAAGGAATAATTGTCAGTAGGAATTGTTTATTACTTTATCGGCAGAAATTTATGGTACAAACCTAGTAAAGAAATGGCAGTGTTTTTGAAAATTACTGAATTATACCACAGTACATAAACTTTCACTACTATAATGTGATATCTATGAGGGCAGGAATCTTTATTCCATTTATTGCTGTATCCCAAGTCTAGAACCATGCCTAGTGTAATAGATAGTAGTTGAATGAAAGAATAAAAGCCAAATGCATGTTAAGAGGGAGAAAGTACTGGATAGCAAATGCAGAGAGTGGATATTCTACCCACCTTCATTTTTATAATATGGAAAGTGTCCAGAGAGATTGAGTTAAAATACTTTTTTATAGACTTATTTTTTTAGACCTTATTTTTTTAATAACAGTTTTAGATTTACAGAAAAATTGAAAAGATAAGTACAGAGTTCTGTCTTTACCTCACATCCAGTTATTTACATCATATGGTATATTTGTCATAATTAATGAGCCAACATCTGTACGTTATCATTAACTAAAATCCATACATTACCCAGATTTCCTTAATTTTTACCTAATGCCCTTTTTTTCTGTTCCAGGATCCCATCAGGCATACCACATTACACCTAGTCATCATGTCTCCTTATCCTCCTCTAGACTGACTGTTTCTTAGACTTTGTTTTTGATGACTGGCAGTTTTGAGGATTACTAGTCAGGTATTTTGTAGAATGCCCCTCTATTGGAATTTGGTATTTTTCTCCTGGTTAGATGGGTTATGGATTTTTGGGAGGAAGACACAGATTTAAAGTGACATTTTCATCACATCATAACCAGAGTACCTACTGTAAACATGATTTATCATGGTTGATGTTGACCTCAGTCACCTGGCTGAGTTACTCTTTTTTACCCCTTTCCATACTATGCTCTTTGGAAGGAAGTCTCTATGTACAGCCCACTCTATGTACTTAAAGAGGTAGGGAGTTATGCTTCCTCTGAGAGTGGAATGTCTACATAAATTATTTGGAATTCTGCATGGGAGATTTGTTTCTTCCACCCTATTAATTCATTTGTAAATATTAGTATGGATTCATGGATTTTATATTTTGGGTTATAATCCAATATGTCTTCGTTGATTTTGTTTCTCAAATTGTTCCATCTTTGGCCACTGGAAGCTTATTCAGTTGACTACTGTGTGCCTTTGACATACCCCATCGACATAAGGCTTTTGTTTTGTTTTGAGCACTTCCTTACTTTTTGGCACTATGTTTCAGCTTCTTCATCTTGTATATTTTCTGCTCCAGGGCCAAATCAACCTTTTTTCCAAGGATCCCTAGTTCCTGTTACCGGAGAATGGTACTATATAAACCAAGATCTGGGTGCTGAGCGTGCTCATTGTTACTGGGGTAACAGTACATTTTAAAAATTAGCTTTTCAAAGATAATTTTATCAATACTATATAAATCCTGCTATATGCTACTAATCACTGAATAATTTAGAGTATTCAGAAAGCATTGGCATCTCATTAAGCAACAGCATTTCCCTCGTGATAGAGTTTAGACTTCTAAGCTAATCAATTATGATGTAGTTTAAAATTTAAAGTGCTTGACTTTGGATTTCTATTAATTAGAATAAAGTAAAATATCCAACAATATAAGTTGGACATATGCTTAAATTGTAGATGCTTGATTATTTCTAAGTACTAGAACAGTCATTTTTTTCAGTGAAAATTTTAGTTATTTAAAATTCATAAAAATTTGTAGTTATTTAAAACATTTTTTCAAAAAATAATACATTCACAGGATTACAAAATAAAAGTAATAAAAACAGATATACCTGGCGAAGTATATATTTCATCTAGTTTCCATCCAGTCTTTCCTCCAATGTCTGCTATAGGCACCCATTTAAATTAGTTTCTTGTGTATCTTCAAGTGTTTCTTTTGCAAATACAAGTATGTTATTTTCCCTCCTTTCTTACGTAGCATGCTAGAAATAATAGTACTGATTAATTTTTATAGGTAATATTGCCCGATTATAGAGCTATAAAATTTTAGAGTTGGAAGGGGCCTTATATTTTAATCCATTTATTTAAAAAACTTATTGAGCTCCTATGTGCTAGGTTGGTGCGAAGCATCACAGTGGAGATGAATAAACACTTCCTATTCTCAAGGAGCTCATAGTCTGATGAGAAATTCCTTCTACAGAATCCCTGCTTTGTCACTGTGCAGCCTCAGCTTAAAGAGGTGTTCACTACCTTCAGAGACTCTTCTGTTTATTAAACAATTTCTGTTGTTTTTCTAAGTGTGAACTGAAACTTTCCTTGTATCTCTTCTGGCTTGGACTTTTAGATCATGAAATGTTGAACATACTATGTCTCCTTTTGAGTCTAATAACTCATAAGGTACACATAGATTGACGGTATAAGAATTTTCTTTCATTCTGCACTTAATTAAGAGGCTTACTCCCTCCCCCTGCTTTTGACTAATTTCTTTTAGTGTTTGAGTGATGAACTTGCCTTTGTGGATGTTGATGAAGGCAAATTGACTGGTGAGACAATGTATCTTCAACATGGCAGCCCTTTTCATGAAAATGCCAAACTTTGTTTCTAGCAAAGATTAATGTCATAGTTAAGTACTATAATTATTCTAATGCTACATGAATAAATAAGAAAATCCTATCTTTATCTCCCTCTATGAAGACTTCCTCAGTTCTTCTTCGTCTTTTTTTTTTTTTTAAGATTTATTTATTTGAGAGAGAGCACACACCTGCGTCCAAGTGTGAGCAGGGGGAGGGATTAAGGGAGAGGGGGGAGAGAGAATTTCAAGCCGTCTCCTTGCTGAGCATGGAGCCTGACATGGAGCTTGACCTCACAACCCTGAGATCAGGACCTGAGCCAAAATCAAGAGTCGGACGCTTAAACCAACTGAGGCACCCAGGTGCCTCTTCCTCAGTTCTTACAAAGTTGGTTGCTCCCTGTACACTCGTAACATCTCGTTCAGATTTCATTAGGTTTTACTTCCATTTGTTTTCAGGGTTTCCTACAGCACCAGACTGATTTCCTGTGAGCAGCAGTAATAGTAGTTATCATAACAGTTATCGTTAATCGATTGTCTGTTTTGTGCCAGACACTGTGCCAGAGCTAAGCACTTTATGTGTATTATTTAATCCTTAGCACAACTCTATGAGGTTTTACAGATGATGCATCTGTGAACTGAAGTTAAGTGGAGTAAGGATTTGAACTCAGTTCTATTTGACTCAAAAGCCTAAGTTCTTTTTTTTTTTTTTAAGGATTTTATTTATCTGAGAGAGAGTGAGTGAGCACGAGTGGGGAGAGGGGCAAAGGGAGAGGGAGAAGCAGACTCCCACCCAAGCAGGGAGCCCGATGTGGGGCTCGATGTGGGGCCCGATCCCAGGACTCTGGGATCATGACCTGAGGCAGACGATTAACAGACTGAGGCAGATGATTAACTTGACTGAGCCACCCAGGCACCCCAGTTAGGAGGTTTTTAAAATATGTACAAGGAAAACTTCAATAAGTTTAGTAAAACTTAGTGACATTTCCTGAATCTAAAAGAGTGCTTTGGGCATAGTAGATCTAAAAAAAACCCCACTCTTTAGTAAACGCAGTGTGGTGATTGAGCCTAACAGGAAAGGTGTACTTAAATGTCAGATGTTTTCTTCCATAATATATTTTCTATTCAAATCTTTCCCCAGATTACCTTGTCACTGCAAACTCCAACATAGTGATTATCAAGCAGATGCGTGCCAGATAAAAGGAGAAACACCTTGATTTAGTCCAGCAAAATGTGTCCATGTTTAAATTAATTATTCCCAGTATTATCCAATATAGTCCATGCTGCAAACTGATTTTTTGTTTCCAGTCCATGTCAGGTTTGTTTTGATTGTTCACTGAAGAATTTTTATGGGGGTGGGTTTAGTAACTTGGTAGAAAAAAAATTTTTTTTAAAGATATTTATTTTTTTGGGGAGAGGGAGAATCCTGGAGCAGACTTCCCACTGAGCATGAAGCCTGACTCATAGCTGGATCCCAGGACCCTGAGATCATGACCTGAGCAGAAATAAAGAGTCAGCTGCTTAACTGACTGAGCCACCCAGGGGCCTGGAGAAAAATATTTAAATTCTAAACTGATGTAATAACCAGAATGTGTTCTGGTTTTGTTAAAGTAACGTATTCTGCACAGTTGTAATCAATGTGTATTACTATAATGAAGATGTCCTCATAGAATGAGTAGTGAAGTGTTCCTTCTTCCATTCTGGAAGAGTCTGTGAAGGACTGGTATTGTTTGAATGTTTAATAGAATTCCCTAGTGAAGCCTTTGCTTTTGGGAAGATTTCCCAATTACTGATTTAATCTCTTTTTCTTGTATGTCTATTCAGATTTTCTATTTGAGTAGTTTTAGTAGTTTCTGTCTTTCCAGGAATTTACCTATTTATGTAAATTATCTAATTTGTTGGCTCATAATTCATATTATTCCCATATTATCTTATTTCTCTGAAGTCGATAGTGATGATCCCCTCTTTCATTCCTGATTTTAGTAATTTGATTCCTTCTCTTCTTTTTCTTGGACAATCTAGCTTGGCCAGACTAGGTTTTTCAATTTTGTTGATCTTCTCAAAGAACCCATTTGTGATGTCATTAATTTTCTCTATTGACTTTCTATTTTGCTTCATTTTTATTTGCATCCTAATCTTCATTATCTTTTCTTCTCCTTCCTTTGGGTTTAGTGTGCTCTTCTTTTTCTTATTTTTTAAGATAGAAGGTTAGGTTATTGATTTGAAATCTTTTCTGTTTTGTAGTGGGCATTTATGGGTATTGATTTTCCTTTAAGCTCAGAGAAGCTGCATCTCATAAATTTTGGTATATAGTGTTTTTGTTTCTTTTGTCTCAAGTATTTTTAAATTTCTCTTAAGATATTTTTTTCTCTTTTGAGGAGCAAGAGCCAAGTTTTTGATTTCTTTTCTGGTATCCAAAGTACTCCTTGATGACATCGTTGGCCTGAGATTCTATGCCATAGTCCTTAACCACCACACAACAGCAACCAGTCACTTTATAGGGTTTTCCCTCTGTCAGTTTTACAGATGCCTACTCATTCCCCTAGTTTCTCATTGTTGTCAAACCTTAATTAGGTTAATTTGGTGCTCAGTACAAAGGAGCTTCACCAACTTGACGTACATAAGGCTCATCACATTTGGATGAAACACACAAAGATGGGCTTGGTGCTTCTCTAAGGCTTTGGCATCTTCATTAATTCCACATGCTAGGCCATTGTGGATGAGGGCGTCTTCAGCACCTCTGGTGAAGCCGTAGGAATGTCCATTACATCTCTGGCAGCAATGCCTTCCTGGGCCATGGCGGTAGGTTATGGGACATGGCACCCGAGCCTCTGCCTCTGTGTAACTTGGCAGTGGGAGGAAGAGTCTCTTCAGATTTTGTCTTGAACCACTTGTTACTTAAGGGGAACGTGTTATTTTTCAAATACTTGTGAATTTTTCTGATTTCCTTATGTTGTTGATTTCAAATGTCTGTTCTGGTATAAGAATATACTTTGTATTTCAACTCTCTTAAATTTGTTGAAATTTATTTTGTGGCCTAGCATGGACAAGATTGCATGTGCCCTTGAGAATGTATATTCTGCTGTTGCGGTTCTGTGTAACTTAGTTCTAACTGGTTGGTAGTATTTGGTTGTTCGGGTCTTCTGTGTCCTTGCTGATTACCTGAGTAGTTCTATCCATAATCAAGAGTGGGGTGTTGAAGTTTTCAGTTTTTGTTATTGAATCGTTTACTTTTCCCTTTGGTTTTGTCAGTTTTGCTTTATGTATTTTAGGGGCCTATGTTTATAACTGTTATAACTTACTGATGAATTACTTTCTATCATTTAAAAATATCCCTCTTTGTTTCTAGTAACTTCAAAAAAATGTGTCTGACATTAATAGAACTACTCAGACTCACATTTGTATGGTGTATAATTTTCCATCTTTTTACTTTCAACCTATTTATAGTTTTATTTTTATTCCAGTATAGTTAACAGTGTTAGATTTGTTTCATATGCTATTTATATCTTTAAATTTACAATGTGACTCTTCTACAGAGCAATATAATTAGATCTTGTTTTATTCAGTTTGAAAAACTCTGTCTTTTGAATGGATTATTTATTCACATTGAATATTTTTATTGATATGTTTGGATTTATTTTGGCCATTTTTCTCTTTGTTTTCTATATGTCTTATATCTTCTTTTGTTCCTCAGTTTCTCCTTTACTGACTTTTTTGCATTAAGGGGATATTTTCTGAAGCACCATTTTAATTCCTTTATTTGTTTTTAACTATGGTTTTTGAGGGTTTTTGTTTTTTAGTGGTTGCTCTTGGGGTTACAATATACAGCTCAACATACCATGATCTACTTCACATTTTTGCACATTTAATTCCAACGAAATATAGAAACTTTGCTCCATTATAGTATCAGCCCCTCACTGACTTTTGTGCTATTATTTTATATATTACGTTTATATAACAAAATCAACAATACAGTGTTACAGTTATTGCTTTATATATATAATCTTGTGTCTTTTGTAGAAGCTAAGAGAAGAAAATATACATTTATTAAGTTTTTTATATTAACCTTAATTTTTCATTTCTGGTATTCTTTATTCATCTAGATTTGAGTTATTGTCTGGTGTCACTTCCTTGCTCTACTCTAGCTTCTTTCTCTTCTCACTCCTCTGGGTTGTTATTGTCAAATACCTTTTCTCTCTATATCTTGTAGGCCCAATAATTAAATTTTATAGATAATCGTTTTATGCAGTTTTAAATAAGGGGGTGTGTGTACACACACATTTTTATATATAAATTGTATTTATTTATAATTGTTTTATATATGATATATATTATAAAATTATGTACATATAAATTATAGTTTTGTTTTTGTTTTTACAGTTGCTACATATCACTATTACCGGTACTCTTTATTTCTTCATTTCAATTCGAATTGCTGCCTGGTATCACTTCCTTTAAGCCTGAATAACTTCCTTTAGTATTTCTTGTAGGGCAGAAGTGCTAGCAGTGAATTCTCTTTATTCGGGAATGTCTCTATTTTGCCTTCATTTTTGGAAATATAGATTTGCTAGGTCGAGAATTCTTGGTGGAGTTTCTCTTACAGCACTGTGAATGTCATTCAGCTGTCTTCCAGCCTCCACTGCTCCAGATGAGAAGTCAGCCATTGACTTATTTTGGGTCCCTTGTATGCAGCAAGTCTGGTTTCTCTTGCTATCTCCAGTGTCTCTCTTTGGCTTTTGACAGTTTGACTATAATGTGTCGAAGTGAGAATCTCAGTTTATCTTACTTGGAGTTCCGGAAGTATCTGCATTTATCTGTGCAGATAAATGTTTTATCAATTTGGGAAGTTTCAGCCGTTATTTCTTCAAATAACTGTTGTGCTTCTTACTCTCCTCTTTCTGGTATTACTGTAATGCATATGTTGGTGTGTTTAATGGTGTCTCACATGTCTCTGTTCTTTAATTTCAGGAGTTCATGCATTATCAAACATTTTCTCTTAGATAATTGTACCACCTCCAAATAAAGACTTGTTTATTCTT